CTGAGATCTTTGATTCGCCATTAAGGGAGCAACATATAAGGGTCATAGTTGCCCTGTTTGGCAAGGAAGTGCCACCAGAGTGCGAGATGACCACCGGGATGACGGTGGTGGTTGCTTGATCATCCTGTTTGGATGCGGTTGTGGGCGGTTCCTTTGGTTATGGATAGGAACCCACAAATTCTGTGTTGGAACGTGAGGGGGTTAAACAACCCTGCCAAAAGAAGCGCGGTTAGGGAGTTCGTTGTGTCGGCGAAGGTGAACCTTGTGTGCTTGCAAGAGACCAAGATTGATGTGTTTGATCCGTTTAATGTAATGTAATGCATTGGGCCATCTTTTGATGGCTTTGACTATGTCCCGGCGATTGATACGCGTGGTGGGATCCTTTTGGGGTGGGATACGACGGTCTTGGAGGTAGACAATATCATTAGGGATACCAATTCGCTCACCGGGCTGGTTCACAATAAGGATGGGTCAGAGTGGTGGATTACTGTGGTCTATGGTCCGCAAGGTGATGAAGCCAAGATGCAATTTATTCTGGATTTGCACAACACGAGGGCGGCGTGCCCGGGACCATGGGTGCTTCTTAGTGATTTCAACATGATCTTGCATGCTGATGAGAAGAGCAATAACAACCTCAACCGAAGGATCATGTGGAAGTTCAGGAAGTTTGTGGATAATTGTGAGCTCAAAGATGTCTACATGCATGGGAGGCGTTTCACGTGGACTAACGAGAGGGAACAACTGGTTCTAACCAAGATTGACAGAGTGCTCGTTTCAGTTGATTGGGAACTGAGTTTCCCGGATGTCCTTTTACAAGCCCTCTCCTCCATTATTTCTGATCATGCCCCCCCTACATCTCACCATGTTGGCCCCGTTCTGCTCTAAGAAAAGATTTCGCTTTGAGATGTACTGGACAAGACTAGAGGGCTTCGAGGAGGCAGTTAGGGAGGCTTGGGTGTGTGAGGATAGTATTGTTGACCCCTATAAGAGGCTGGACTCCCTCCTTCGCAACACCGCTGCAGCTCTACAAGCTGGGTGCAAAGGAAGACAGGGCACATCAAGACCCAGATGGCGGTGGCCAATTACATCATCTTGAGGCTGGATCGGGCATGGAAGATAGGGTGCTCACGCCCAAGGAACGATGGCTAAGGGGAACTCTAAAGCATGCGTTGTTACGACTGTCCTCCTTGCAATGCACCATTGACCGACAGCGATCGAGACTACGCTGGATCCAAAAAGGAGACGCCAACACCAAGCTTTTTCAAGCGGTGGCTAATGGACGAAGATCAAAAAACTTTATCCCTCACATTAGACATAACAACAAGCTGATCACGGATCAACAAAGGAAGGAGGAGGTGTTTACGGATGCTTTCCAACAACTTCTGGGTTGCGCTTCCACCAGAGAGGCTGACCTAAACCTGGACTTCCTAGAGCTTGACAGACACGACCTTTCTGAACTGGACGAAATTTTTACGGAGGAGGAAGTGTGGGATACGATAAAGGAGTTGCTGCCTAATCGTGCGCCCGGGCCTGATGGGTTTATTGCTGCCTTTTATCAGAGGGCTTGGCCCATTATCAAGAACGACCTGATGGCAGTGTTCATGAAGCTATATGTGGAGGATGGTAGGGGTTTTGGCAAGTTGAATCGTGCTCATATCGTCTTGATCCCGAAAAAACCAGATGCGGAGGTCGTGGGGGACTTCCACCCTATAAGCTTGACCCACGGTGCTGCAAAATTATTTGCGAAGATGCTGGCGAATCGAGTTAAGCGCAGGATGCCAGAGACCGTGGCTGTAAATCAATCTGCCTTCATAAGTGGCCGACACCTGCATGATAACTTTCTTCTGGTTCGGCAAGTTGCAAGGAAACTTCATGCTCGCAAGGAAGCTGCTGTCTTTCTGAAACTTGATATCTCAAAAGCTTTCGACTCGATCGCTTGGCCTTTCCTCTTCGAGGTGATGAAGCAGAAAGGTTTTGGGACCAAATGGTTGTCCTGGATCTCCATCTTGTTAAGGACGACATCTACTAAAGTGATTGTCAACTGGATCCCGGGAAAAAGCTTCCAACACTTGAAAGGGCTACGGCAAGGAGACCCGGTCTCCCCCCTCCTTTTTTTCATTGCTATGGACGTCCTCTCTAAGATCACGAGTAAAGCTGCTGATTTGGGTGTGTCTAGTAGGATTGCTGGGGTCTTTGCTACCTAGACGATCTCGATTTATGTGAATGATGTGGCTATGTTTGTCAAGCCTTCTGAGGTGGATCTGAGATTTGTTAAAGAAGCTCTCAAGATGTTCGATGATGCGTCGGGCCTTCGAGTGAACTATCTCAAGTCATCTGCAGTGATGATCCATGGTGATGCTTCTGACAGGGATAGGGTGGCTGCTTTGCTGCAATGCAATATGGGAACTTTTCCTTGCAAGTATCTAGGTTTGCAGCTCGCAATTCACCAACTTAGCCGTGCGGACTGGCAACCGATGGTAGATCAAGCTAAGCATTGCGCCCCGGCCTGGCAACGTGGGCTGCTCCAGAGATCAGGCCGTCTTGTGCTCGTTAAGTCTGTGGTGGCCGCTAAACCCATACATCATTTCATGATTGCTGAGGCGCCAGCCTGGGTGTTGGAGGAAATCGACCAATGGATGCGTGCGTTTTTCTGGGCTGGGAAGGACAAGGTGAACGGTGGGCAGTGCTTGGTGGCCTGGAACACGATCTGTAGGCCCATGTTCCTTGGGGGTCTGGGAGTCAGAAATCTGGAGCTGCAGGGGATCGCACTAAGAGTCAGATGGGAGTGGCTGAAACGGACGGATTCGCAAAGACCATGGCAAGGCTTAGCTATGACTGAGGACAGACAAGCCCGCACAGTGTTTGATAGCCTAGTCAAGATTGAGGTTGGAGATGGCACCAAGGTGTTGTTCTGGAGAGACAGATGGATTCACGGTTTTGCGGCCGCGGACATTGCTCCGCTTATCCATGCCATGGTGGCTACTCGCACGAGGAACAGACGCACAGTCAGTGAGGTTCTGGACAATGGCAGATGGTTGCAGGATGTGACTGGTGATCTCACATTCGTTGGGCATATGCAGCTTGTGCACCTCAACTTGGCTATTAGCACGATCAAGCGTGATCCGAACAGACCGGACTGCTTCTCTTGGCCGCCAGACCCCTCGGGTAGTTACACTGCGAGATCCACATATCATCGCCTTTGCCTCGAAACCCGGAGGGTGCCTTTCGCTTCTTGCATCTGGTAGAGTTGGGCACTTCTTAAGTGCAAGATTTTTGCTTGGCTGGCCGTGCAACATCGCATTTGGACCTCGGATCGACGTGCTAAGCATGGGCTTCAGGATAGACCCTTAGCTTGTTACACGTGCCTGCAGGAAGAGGACAACGCTGAGCATATTTTGATCCAGTGTGTGTACGCTAGGGAAGTTTGGCATGAGGGTCTCCAAGCCCTCAACTTGCAGGTCACGAGGCCGACTGAGAATGATAATCTGCTGGATTGGTGGCTATTAGCAAGGAAGGGGAGTGTCAAGGCTAACAAACGGGCTTTTGACACATTTGTGATTGTGGTGGCTTGGGCCCTCTGGAAACAAAGGAATAATCGCGTATTCAATAGAAGAAGTTAACAGAGTTCCTTGATTGAATTGATAGACGCGATTCTTCGTGAGCTGCATGAGTGGATTGAGGCCGGAGTTGGAGGTGTTGGGTTGTCACGTTTCGTGAGAGAGTAGGCTTAGGATCTTGGGTGTGGTTTGTTTCCGGGTGTTGCCTGAGAATGGATGTGTGCATCCATTCGTAAGGCATCTCTTGTAAATCTTATTCTCTCTTCTATAAAAATATGTTACGCTATTGGCGTACTCTCAAAAAAAACCTTGCAAAGGTTTTGCCAAAGGACAATGAATTGCCTAAGACTACTTACGAAGCCAAGAAGGTTGTCTGTCCTCTTGCATTAGACATGGTGAAATACCATGCATGCCTTAATGACTATTTGGGGCACGTGATTGATTCAAGGGTTCAATGATGACGCGTGCGACTTTGGGGCACTTGCATGGAGACTTCTCGGCTATTATCAACAAGGGCAAGCCGACTCTGATAGGTACATGGCAACATCGACGCCTCGGCGACTCGTTCAGGGCGGTAATGCTCGTTCGTGGCACAAGGTCCTCAATGTAATTTTTTTATTATGTCTATGGTGCTTTGTATTTCTTATAAACCTTTATAATATATAATAAATCTAGTTTTTTACGAAAAAAGTCTACTCCTCCCTCACTTCGACTAGACAGGTAGGTCCCACACAAATAGTTTGGTTCGGCTAGATAGGTGCAAACTTGGCCAGATGGGCTGACACGATACGTGTCGACCTGGGTTATATGGGTTAGGCACGCTAACTACACAGACCATGCCGGACCGGCAGGCGTGTTGCACTCCGTGGCCCAAGCACGTCATAGCAAGGAAACGGGTCAGCCCACCAGCACATTTAGCCCACCGGGGCGTCTGATTTTGGGTTGTTTGGGCCTATTGTGCTGATTTGAGGCTAATGTACAAAAAAAAGTCTGAAAAGAATAAAAAAAGTAAACAGGCCGTGTTGTACCGGCACACACATGCCCAGCCTCACGGCCCTAGTGGGCCACGTGCCGTGCCAGGCCGACCATGGGCCGGGCACGCGGGCTAACGTGCCGGCCTGCCTGGCCCAGCCCAGATGGCCACTTTGGGTAGGTGGAGTCGGAACGGGACGCCAAGAACAACGCGAGGAAGAAACGCAATTCGGGTGGAGTTGGACTTGTGGTTGTTGCCGAGCGCTTCCTCCCGTCTCCTCGCGATTTTTTATAAAAAGGAGAGAAGCGCAATCGTATCCCCAGCCAGATTCACATCGTATCGCATCGCCACCCACCTTTCCCTGCCGGATTCTTCTCAGGTAGCAGCAGCAGCTTGAATTCTTGCGGATCTGCGGCTGCGAATCCCAGTCTCGTATCAACTCGACCAGGCGGAGGAGAAGCAGGGGGAAGATGTCCAAGGCGGCGCTGACACTGGAGGAGGTGTCCAAGCACAACACCAAGGACGACTGCTGGCTCATCATCGCCGGCAAGGTATACGCACGCATCTTCTCCCCGCTGCCCCTCCTGATTGTTTCCTTGCGATTATTGTTACGCCAAGATTCAGTCTTTCTTTCTTTCTCTCGGAGGGTCGTGATACTGGTAGCTTGCAGCACAACATGCCCTAATCGATTTGCCAAAGCAATTGATACGTGTTACGTGCTGGCCTGGTACGATTAGAGTTATCCGCCGGCAGATCTGCACAGTACCGTCGGACTATTACTTGAGTTATTGGTTATGTTGAAGAAGAATCAGTTTGGTTTAGTACATGTCGAGCGATTCCTGGGGTAAATAGTTGGTACCTCTTTGAATTGTGAATTGGCCTGAGAGATTACACACTCTGGTTTACTTCCAGAATTTTCACCTGTCGGAACCGATAAATTACTGAGTACCCCGCTATATACAAGGTCCGAACACTTTTAGCGAGTGTGTATAATTTTCTGATGGTGGTCAGAAGAAACTAGGCTCTCACCCCGCTTTTATATACATAAAGCCAGAGTACCGATACAACCACGGTCCAGACCAGCAGACAAGGTCGGAACCGATGAATTGCGTTTATATTGCCGTGCAACCTTCTTCTAGTTGATCCTGCTCGACCTGGTTTGCAAAAAGGATTGCCCTTTTGGTTACCGTAGATTCACTAGTCAATTACCTTTTGCTATGTAAAAATAGTTGCATGTTTGGTTCTTGAGTGTTATGTTGCCCTTTCTAGGAAAAAACAAGAGGTTACTTACCGGTGATTAGATGATATTTTGACCCATGTTTGTTGCTCAAGCTTGTTCCATAGTTGCCACGAGAACATAACTACATGACCAACTATAAAGTTGTCCACAATTTCAGTCTTTCAGACGAGAACTAAACTCTCAGGTCCCAGACCAATTGAGATTCATTCTCCATCCTCTAGACTATATTTTACCCCCGTAAGAATCACATTTGTTAACCTTTTCCAATTCTCCATCTGAGTTCTGGACATAACTCTGAATCTTTTGTCATAGTTTATTTTTCATGTTTTATGCATCCAAAAAATCTGCCTTACAGTAACAACACTTAGGTCTTGGCTTAAGATAAAGATTTTAAATTATATTCATCAGTACCCTTTATCCCATGTGTACCAATGAAAAGCAAGTCTTTAACATTTATTTTAGCCCAAAAAAACTCATTTTATTTTTGTTTAAGCCTTGCAAAGTGGCGTAGTTTAAGGTGAATTTTTCATATTTTGTACAAACCTTGCAGAGTAGTTATGTTTATCTTTCTTCGGAACCTGAAAGTTCTCTATAAGCAGGCTTATATTGCATAAAGACAGATTTGATTAGCCTTTATTCACGTTGAAAGGGCTGCTTTCTTCTTGTACTTGTTTTATATGGCAGGAGCAATGTGGCAATGCTCTTTAATTAACACCGTTACTTTTATGTCAGTAGTGAGGCTTAGAATTGTTATAAATTTAGTTTAGAGGAGAATGGTTATAAATTTTGTTCCTTCTTGAGAAAAACAATCACTGACACTGTGTTCTAATGTTCAGGTATATGATGTGACCAAGTTTTTGGAGGATCACCCTGGAGGTGATGATGTACTGTTGTCCTCGACTGGTAACGCCTTCTTGCCATGCCATGCTTGCAGAAGTTGTGAACTTGTGATTTAGCCTAATAACTTGCATTAACACATGGGCCCTTTTACAGCCAAGGACGCAACTGATGACTTTGAGGATGTCGGGCACAGCACCACCGCCCGTGCGATGCTGGACGAGTACTATGTCGGCGACGTGGATACGGCTACGATACCTGCCCGGACAAAGTACACTCCGCCGAAGCAACCACACTACAACCAAGACAAGACCCCTGAGTTCATCATCAAGATCCTCCAGTTCCTGGTCCCCTTGGCCATACTTGGTCTGGCTGTCGCCATTAGGATGTACACCAAGTCGGAATCGGCTTAACCGGTGGCGGCATTGTTCTCTGGGTTATGGGGAAAAAATAGCTTTAAGGTGTTGGAATAAGTTAGTAGTTTGTCGCGTGATGTATCCATTCCAATGTACCGTGTGGTGAGTTGTTTGAATGTTGCAACGGTTTTGTCGTGAAACTGAAATTGATGGGACCAAGTTTTGTTGTGCAACTTAAATTGATGGGACTGAAATTGCTCTTTGGTGTTGGTGCATTGGTATGCATTCTCCTCGATGCCTGTGAAAATTAAGCACCGGTTCTATTTTCAACAAAAGTAGAAGAACAGTCACGATGTTTTGGAAGAAAACATGTCTGGTGCTACAAGGCGAGGCATGTAGATGGGTGAGAAGAGGCAAACACAGCCTGGCGCGCCGCCACCCTCAGCCTCCGCCGACCTTGACAATTTTTTTGGTGAGGATATTGTAAATATTTGATATCTTCAGTTGTAAATATCAGTGTTTTGGATATCACATCTTGCTCGCAAGTATGTCTGATCTTTCCAACATCAGCATCATTGAAAGCGGAGTATAAACACATGGTACACTGAAGATAGCAAGGCTGTGGGATTTTATTGTTTGAAAACTCTGGTGCCTTCTGGATATATATTTACAGTTTTACTAAAAAACAGTCGTCTGTTTTCATTTTGGCTTCAAGTCGAATTTTCAGTCGTTCGATTCAGTTCTGAGATCTGCGCTGGTGTGGCTGAACTTTTCGGGCCCGCTTTGTCTTAGTGGGTCTTAGTGGATCCTTTTGGGTCATTTTCGCGCCCGCTTTTTTCCAGTGTCGCGTGGAGGATCTAGTCTGTCCTCCTCAATCCTTATCCATGGCGACGACGGTGGGCTCGAGGCGACGACGGAGAGGTCAAACTTCAGATATTATCTTCTCTGTGGATATCGCCTCCCTTTCTTCTCTCCATTTGTTGCCCCTCTCCTCCAGCATGCCCTTCCCTACCATGACGCCTTCTCTCTCTCCTTCCCCTCCCATGGTGCCCATCCCTCCATTCCCATGACACCCCTCCCCCTCCCTTCTTCATATGGCGCCTCATTACCCTCTATTCTGGTGTCTGTGAGTCTGTCCCTCTCTCTTCTTGAACCCTAGAACACAAGCAGATCTCAAATCCTAACTCTCTCTGTTATTGTATAGGTTCATCCGGGTTCAGTTTTGCAGATCTGTAGCAATCAAGTCCTAATCCCTTTCTGCTGCTTCAGGTTATTGGAATTCAGTTTTGCAATTCTCTACAACAGCCAATTAAAACTAAGGCAACACCAATGCTTTTGTGATGATCTCGTTGTGTCTAGATGGAACTGAAATGCTACCATGTGCTCAATTTTATTTAATGTGAAAGTCATGCTATCTTGTAAAGATAATATACTACATATATTAGTTACTAGGTGTTTGTTTTGATTCATGGTGTACATGAATGTTGTAGTCTTGTTTTACATTATGCACATATGAAAATCTGCAGCAATTTGGTACAAGCAGTACCCTGAATCACATATTTGAGGTGTTCCATCTTATTTTATTGTCTCTATATATTTCCCATGTTTTTTGTTATCACGCAAGTCCCTGTTTCTCGGTCATCAAGCTTGTTGCTTCCCTCGACCTTTTTTTGTTGCTTCCTCGACCATTTTTTTTCAGAAGTCAGAAGGTTTCATTGCAGCTTTATATAGCTTAAATTGTAGTCTTATGCACCCCATCTTTTTCTTTGTTCACTAGTGTTTTGCTAAACATATACATTCCCCCTTAACCAATTCATACACGCATTTTTTCTGTGAATGTATTGATACTTATGCAATAGCGGTAGTCCGGCCGAATTTTCTTCAATGAGTAGTCTCAACTGCTTGAGGTGGTCAAGTTTCCCCTTTTTGGGGGGTTCCTAGTCAGTTGAGCTCTGGCCCATTCTCATATGCTAATCTTGTGTAGGAAGATTGCCAGTGTTGCACGAGCATGGAATTGTGGACGTCGTTGTGCACTATTCTAAGGTGTCGGCTAGCTGGCTAGAGGCGTGTGTGGTCACGGCCTAGTGACTTTTGTTCATTTTCTTCACTCTAGTGTATTTTGTCCATTTCTCTCTAAGTCTCTTGCTCTGGTCTCTTATGTTGTTGTCAATCATTTTGTCTATGTATTCATTCTAAGGTGAACAACTGACTTCTTACTATTCTTCAATTGTATTCATTATTTTTGTTCCTCAGTTTGTAAGATTGCCTTCTCAGTCTTATATTAGTTTTTGTAATAGTATCAGTCCTCATTTTATCATATTTAGTTATCATTTGCATCTTTCTTCAGTCCTATCTCTCACGAGTCTTGTCTTTTAGTAGATGATTATTTCTGTTTTGAACCTCATGTTCATGTAAGTCCTAAGTTTTAAGTTTTCTGTTTTCTGTTTTTTGCACTGTTTTTTTGCTAGATTATTTTCACTTTTTAGTCATCAGTACTCCTAAGTATCAGTTTTTAAATGTGACACCGTAACATTTTGCCAAATACATGTATTACATTTTATTAATGACATAAAGATTTCAGAAAATTATACGACAATTTCTTACAATTGTTTTTTTTAAATCAGGTTGGAAAATTTGTTCCCATGTTTAAAAATATATATGTTTCAAACGGTGTTCCCTTTTTCAAAATTGGTTGTTTTTAAATAAATGTTCATATTTTAAAAAAGTTATTCAGAAATTTCTAAAATTGTTCCCACTTAAGAAACGGATATTTCAAAGATTGTTCGGGCCTGCACGTTTTCAATATTTGTTTGCCCTTCAAAAAATGATTTAAATCTCGGCGCTGCTCTATGTGGTTTAAATGTTCGGGCCTCGCATCATAACATCAACGTTAGATGCGTGTAGTGGCTAGTGGGAGCAATTCAGCAGCGTTAGGTTGTGTGAGTACGAATCCTAGTTTTCTCTTTTTTATGTGTTTTTTACTATGCGTGTTTTACAAAAAGTGTTTTTTACTATGCGTGTTTTACAAAAAAGAAAAAAATCGCCTCGTGTCTATTCGCCCAGACCAGTTGCGACCGCACCCTTTCAATATTTTTACTTTGCGTTTTACGAAAAAATAAATCCCCCCAAAAAACGAAAAAACAAACAAAATCTTGTAGTATATGTAAAAAGAAACATAAAAACCAAAGTATCAGTTTTAGTTCTCTTCAACTATATGTTAAGTGATTAGTTATTTTGTCAGTGTTTGTTCATTATCTTAAGTGTCTCATTTTAGTTCTATTCAGTTATTTGGTCAGTGTTTGTTCTTGTCTATCAGTTTTAAGTTAAGTCATTTATTATTCTAACTAGTTTAGTTTCCATTCAGCTTATTATTTTTAGTTTATTTTGTTATTCCTGTATTTTCAGCATTCATTTTAAATTTGTTAGACTTGATATGTGTTAATAATTCTTGTAGTTTAAATTAGTTATCTGGTGAGTCTCTGTTCTTAGTTTTTCAGTCATCTTTTTGATTAGTCTTCATTTTTCAGTGCAGTTATTTCATTAATTATTATTCATTTTTTTTAGTTTTTCTAGGAAGAGTTTGTCTATGTGTTTATCATTTTCTCGTTCAATCATGTTAGGTATCATTTTATCTGTCATTCTAGTGTCTGAACCCGTAGGTGTCAAATTCAGTTTATAGTTTTTGGTTGAGTGTTAGGTGTCATTTTTAGTATCGTCAGTTAATGTTCTTCAGCTTTGTGTTGTATTCAGTTTTGTCATCTCAGAAGTGTCATAAAATTCTTAGCCATATATCAGTTTGTAGTTTTCAGTTTCAGTCATCTTCATTGCAGGTTAGTTCATGGTTATGTTCAGTGTCAATTTCAGTCTTATTCAGGTTTCAGTCATCTTTAGCTTTTTCATGCTACTCATTTCTTTAGTGTTAGGTTTGTTAGCTAGTTTAGCAAATTTGTTCATACAGTTTTCCGTCTATCTATATTTTCTTTCTCAGTTTCAGTGCTGTGTGCATTTTTTTAGTATTTTTCATTGTTTTACATGTTTTTGAATCATCAGTCATCTATATTTTTCAGTTATCCCTCATTATTCTAGTTAGTCCATGATAATTTCGGCGAGGAAGCTGATTCCCCTGCTGCTTTTTTATTTTACTCATCGCAAGCAGCATCACACGCAGTTGCATCCATGTCTTCTCTCCCCACCACCCGCCAGCTAACGTCACGCCTCCACAGATTTCTTTTCTTTGTTACAAGCCTGCGTCCTCTTCCAGGTGTGAGTCCTCTACCTCGAGACCTCGTTGGGTTACACCACCGCGGGCACGGTACGTATCAATGTTGATACTACTATTTTCGCAATAATCGCTGCTTGGGAGTGGGTGTTTTTTATCTGTGATCACCATGGATGTTGTGTGCTGGCATGCAATGAACGTTTTGAAGGCGTAACATCACCTGAACTTGCTGAAGTAGTGGCCTGGCCATTAGGCGTGTTCACATTTTCCAGAGATCATGGTCACATGTTTGTGCTTCTTAATTCTGATTGTCTCTCTCTGACTTTCAGTGCATTCATTCTGATGCTCAGGATCTATCTTTGTTGGGCTCGGTGATAGCTGATATAAAGTCTCTGGTGGCTGCTGTATCTTCAAGCATGTTCATCGCGACTTGAATGTAGCGGCACATCTATTAGCTCGCAATAGTGAACATTCAGTTTGTAATATTTCTGTTGATGTAATCCCCTGGTGTATCTGGGAAGTACTTTAGAATGATGTTACTTAATCAATAAAGTGCCTGACAGTCTCTCTCTCTCAAAAAAGACTTCTTTTCTTTGTTTAGTTATTATACTTGGAGAGGAAGAAGGTGATCAGGTAGAGGGGAGGTAAGTGACGGGAAAGGGAGGGCTTTTTGACCTAGGGTACTAGTGGCGGTCGGGGCTATAGCCCAGCCCACTATCAGGGGAAGCTTTTTTCTATGCGTGTGGTTAGGCGGCCCGTTAGGTGTACAGGACGGGGCGCTACACATTCGAGGACCAGAAAGGCTGAGGCACATTTTTCCGACCTGAAACGAGTAAGG